TTTTTGACGAGTTACTTTCATTTTTGCTTCTACTTTTCATTTAAAATAAGTTTCCATTTTCGGCAGGTTTCTACGTTTCTTCTTCTACGAATTAAAGTTGTTAAACATCTGAGTGGCGCACTACCGCTACTAGTGGTGAGAAAGTGTATTGCACCTTATTCAAAATCAATGCGGTCCCTCGGCCCTTTGCGGGCCAAAGTTAAAAACTGTTGTTCTTTTGAGGTCCTCAAGGTGGGGCCGCGGCCCATAGGTTAAGAATCTCTGAGTTAGACAACAGAGACGAAATCTGAAAAAATAAATAAATAAATACAAATAATAATAATAAGTAAAAACCTTAAAAACATCAAGAACAAGAAATGGAGAGCAATGGGATTTTGGCAAATCCTATGAGAATAAAAACAGTATTTTAGAGCCCCACAGCTCAGACATATTTTACCATAGAAACACCACTCTAAGTTTAAACCGGTCACAGAAAGTAGGACTGTATGCGACTCAACCAACATTTTATTATTTTTAACTTTTTTCCCACACRGTCCTAGTTTTCATTTTTCCAAATATTTCCACATCAGTGATGTTTCACATTCAAATTATCTAAAATATTCCCATCTTTTGCAAATAAACGCAACACTCCCACTGTTTAATTTGATAYGTTTAAATTAAACATTTTAAAATAATTAAAAGTATAATCTAGTGTTTAAAAATAATATTAGCCAATGAAAATAAGCTATTTAGATACTTCACAGAAAAGAAGAAATAGCCACAGAAATGGGTCAGTGTTCATTTTTATTTTGAATTAGGTTTATTTTTGGATGAATCTGTTAATGTGATTTACACAAGTTATTAATAATGCTTCGTGTTGTCTCTTGGAGCTCCCAGCTGCTGTTTAATGATTCCTATTAAACTTTGAGCCGCAGCACAGCAGAGTCACCCTTGGCTTTTGAGCCGGCAGCGATAAGCTAAAAATTCCCCCAGACAAAAGTTGCTCAACTGTTATAGTCTCTCTCTCTTTGTTCAGTTCACTTCACAATCCTTTATTTACACAAGTCCAACTGTTGTATTACCATTATATGAAAAGAAAAACTGATATAAATTTTAAGAAAGAACAATGACAACGTTAAGGCGTTAAAATAGTTGTGAATCTCTTCCATTACTCCTGTAAAAAAGACAAAAAAACAGTGKATTGTCTCTTAGCGTGCCTCTTGCATGTTAACACTCCCTTTATGGTCATCATGACTCTCCCACCTCCCCACCCCACGTCTCCTCCCCAAGGCTGCCCCCAAACTGTCACATGTGCTCCCATCTCCACCCACACACACTGTGAAATGTCAATTCAGTGTTTCCCTTACATGGGGTCATGTGTGATGCACTGCCCCAGTGATGTCAGAGAGCAATCTGAAAGTCATAAATAATGCAGACTCAGTCCTGAAATATACCTAAATCTATCCGTTTCATGTGACAAGTCTT